TCTTTTCTTTTTGCTTACACTTTCAGATTACAAGAACAAACGAATTAAAAACAGAAATTTCCGAACATCAGACTTTACCGTATAGATCAAGAAACAGGCAATACCACAAGCCAACGAGCTTTCTCCGCCTGTAAACTGGACTCTGGACATTGGATGGTAAGTACCTATTATTCCTGAGCGCCATTGCCCAGGACGTGATACTGCACCCTACTTTCTGCCTTTCAGAAAAAACTTATTGACTCGCAGTGCTGGAAGCCACAAGAACGGCCAACAACACATCAATCTGGACGCAAGATTGGCCCGGGCCACTCCTGTGCAAAGGAACTGACCTGAACTGAATTTCCTACCGCGACTTTCAAAAATGGCGCATTTTTGAACTTGTCGTTTTCTCCCAATCGGCTGCTGTCTGTGATGCTTGAATGGACCTACTCTGGTGTGAATACTAGTGTTGCTGGTGCAGGAGGCGCTGAATGTGTTAATTACCTATCTAATAGACAAAGGATATACGAAACGTTCCTGGTTACTGCCGTGTTTTCCTATCTTTGTTCCTGGTCATGGCCTCGGTTGTGTTTACCTCCAAGAAGCTACGCCCATCGACCACGTCCGGCGCTCTTTCAAACATTACTTTTTCTGCATTCGCTTATTTTTGGAATTGAGATTGGATTTAAACTTGCGAGCAAGTCATTGATATGGGTGTTGAATCCATGTCACGTGCTCACTATGATGCAGGTAAGTAGTCCCGAAGGATTACTTTTCAAATAGTTGTCATTAAAACCCGAATTCGGCTATGTTCTAAGATTATTTTCCCGTTTAGCTTTTCTTGTTGGCTGCACAACCGAGCAACGCAGTGACCGCACTGTTCCGGTTGCAGATGCACATGCTAAACGGACCGCTTTTGGCTCTTGCATTTCCTGTTCTGAATACCCGTCAGGTATGTGCTTTCTGTATTGTTTTGTAAAGTTTCAAATTTCACTTTAATTATGGATGTTTCCGGGCTGTACATAATTGTGTTCAGTCGAGCATCCTGTTTTGTTTTCTGTGAGGCCTCTTTACTTCAACATTTAGATGTGAAATTTTTCTCTGAGTCTTCAACTGTTAAGGGTAGTGGGAATTCCCGTGTTAGCCCCATCGCATTGTGCTCCACTGGGCTGATTCGGTGTTGACATAATAGGAATAATAGTGCAATGCAGTATCGCCATTGATGTTAGTTTCAAGTAGGTCGGAAACCTTAGCACTAACCTCCGAGAACATCACTGTCCTCATGATCGTGAGGTGAGTTATTCTTTTCCTTTCCTCTTTTGAGCAACTAGTTACAAGGCTTCGTGATGGTGCGTGCCCAACTTGATTGTATACCGTTGAAGGAGTTCTGAACCCCGATTAGTCGCAGCCATTTTTTCTCATGTGAAAACTGAACTGATCTGGTCTGAATATCCCTTTCAGTACTTTTAGCCGTTACTGCATCGTAGGGAAGTGAGGTAACCGAGTCCACAATGTGGATCCCAAATGTAGCCTAGGGTGTTCCCTCTGCAACCGCAATTTGTGCCCTCGAGTCCGCATATGGAACAGACCAATGAGACCAAATTCAGGTTTAACAGACGTTTGACAACCTTAAATGTCTTTTGTACCTACATATATGTATCACATACGCATCCTAATCTAAACTGTGCTAAACGAATCACGATACAATAATCTTTATAACAAAAGATCCATGGCTCGCTCGAGGGTACGCTATTGCTAGGTCACCCTGACCAAAACAGATGAATTTTCTTAGGGAGTTTCAACAGGAGCCTTTGGATAGCCAGAGCCTGACGCACAAGGCAGCGGCAAGGTATGCGAACACCGCAATCCATTGGGGACCTCTATCCAGTTCATCGGATTATACGCCCTTTGGATCAAACGTCCAAATTTCCCCATACACCGATGCTCAATCGAGCTGGTGGCCGCTGCCGCAACCAGGAAGATGTGTGTTATGTACGCGTCTTCTTGGTTGGTCGAATCAGGGTTTTTCGCCAACTCCCCTAGAACTACCAGTTGTTCACCAATCCGGTTATTGCCCTGCATGTTAGCTTTCTGTCCCGTCACTTTGGCGGAGAAACACCCTCCACGGGAAGGTAGTGAGTAGGATTTCCTCATCAGAAGCTATTTGGGACGATTGGTCGTACGGGAGCATTTCGCGAGGTGCAAGGGAGGGGTGAGCAGCCGCAACTCACGACACATCCTCGACGATACTGAGGCGTTCGGAGGATGGACTACAACACAGATTTACTGCTAAGGTGAACCAATCTAAACCTAAAACATTAATGAAACCGAAATTTCCTTTTTGCTTAGCAGCATACAGTGTTTGCACGCTTCATCAGATCGGCCAACAAGCCGCCTTAGCTAGAAACCTTCATGCTTCCATTGTTGATTCGCTGTCGCTGTAACAGGCTACCCTACTTCAGTTTTCACTGACTATTTCAGATCCATCCTCATCCGCACTGTGTACTGTCCACGTGTTAGACGATCCGGCATCTGACGCTCGTGGCGTTGTGGGTGTCTAGTTCTCACTAACTGTCAAGTCCGCGTGCCCGCTCCTTGACCGGATTCCGGTTAGTAGCCGACTATGCACTTTAGGTCTCAATAGTTCACCTTGGGTCATCATCAGCAGCAAACGTCGGTGGTTATTCGTCATGTCCATATATGTCCTCGACAGATTACATTCAGCCTGAAATTTTGGACGAATGTTACAAAGACCTTTTATTATCATTATTATTCAATTTCCGCCAAATTCTGGAGCATCGGCATTCTTTTCGTAGACCCACCATATCTGAAAGCGGCTTTCGAATCAGTCGATCGCTTTAAACTCTGGCGCTGCCTTTCTCTGAGAGATGTGCCCCAGAAGTTAATTTCAATATTACTATCGCTTTATACTGATAGCCGAAGTCGAGTCGGGCTTACGCCACTTTTTCGACCGAGTTCACTACGAAAAGTGGTGTTCGTCAGGGTTGCCCCATCTTTCCTTTTCTATTCACCTTTGTTATAGATTTGATTATGGAAACAGCCCTATCCTCGTGCGAGGATAGCGGTATCGATTTACTTCCAGGAGGCAGACTGTTTGGTCTAGAGTGCGCAGACAACATTGTGCTACTAAGTAAAGATCCAGGTAAGTTGCAAGCATTTGTGGATAACCTGAATGCCAGCTTAGCCATATTCGGTATGCGTTTTGTACCTTCAAAGTGTAAAATGTTACTACAAGACTGGGTTGGTCCAGCACCCAACCTCACTCTAACTGGGGAAGTAATAGAGCAGGTAAATAAGTTTTGTTATTTGGGCAGCTACA